CACACACACAAATTCACACTCCAACGATAAATAACGAGTCGCGGGAATCCGAATGAGTTGGCGGGGCGGCGTAAGACGCTGTTAACTATTTGGGACACAAGTAGGAACAGCAGACTGTTAACCAGCAAAAATAAAGAAGGACGAGCTACTGTGATCCCGCACAACGCGGACCCCGACTTCCTAGAGTGTTAAAAGGTCTCTAACAGAATGCTGCTATTGGAGCATAGTCTACAAAGAGGTTCGCGCAGACCCTGCATGGTTCAGCTAGCAGGCGAGGCTTACCAACAATAAGACGAGCATCAACGTTGGGATATTCCTGGAGGAGCGATTGAACCAGATCGATTGCCGGGTCATCGGGTGATTCTACGCAGAAGATGATTTCAAACTATGAAAGGAAAATGGATCAATTAATTATTTTGTGAGGGTGAACTTGTCAGAAAGGGGAAAAGCTGAACAAGGGTTGCTACATTAAAAGGGATGTGCTGTGTAGACAGCAAAAGCAGCGATATTCTCCGTCTAAAAGAAGCGCAAGTGTAAGTAGACTGAAATAGAAAGGAAGTTCACCTTTTCATTGACTAAGAGGTGGTTTCCCAAATTGGTTTGTCTGTTACATAAAACATTGGCAACAGTATTATGACTGGCTGTAAATGAACCACTTTACGCATACTTTTCATGCATCGTCTCCTTTTTTGTCTCTCCAGTTTTGGCTCAACAATTGTGATTCTCTGAGCTGAGGGTCAGCCCTGTATACACTCACTTGAAATACTACCGAATATCAGCATTACCCAACAAAAATGATATTTCGAAAATACTGTATACTTCTATGGTAAGTTTTAAGTTGTTCCTCCGTAAAATACCATAAAAGTAGACCAGAAAATATATTTTGCATTTTAGACAAGTGTTCTATCAGTCGAGACATAGATGGAATTAAGGCGATTAAAATATTACCACAGGTAAAAAAGACGTATAAACTATCAATAACTCACGTTCGGATAATTAAGCTCCAAATGACTAACAATATTTTCCCGCAGAAGAGGATCGACGCCCATGAGGGGCTTAATAATGGTTACGCCAGGGTAATGTTGCAGAGGGGGGTGAGATCTTCTGTAAAAATTGGCAGAGCTGCCGAAGAAAAAACAAAATCTTAATGAAACCACCGAAAAAAAAAACGAGACATTTAAAGGAAAGCCTATGGGTATTGCGCTGGCGCAGAACGTTGATAAGAGATTGGAAGAAAATTCAGAGGAATAAACAATTCTAGTGATTGTAAAAGCTTCAAAACTGGCTATATATTGAAATAAAACTTAGAAAACAGGAAGCGTTGGAACTAAACGGCACTAATACCACTACTAGGAGCAGGGAAAATCTGGTAATTTTAATTATCATAAACTAGACTAGAGGTTATAGTTACGTAGTCCATAAGAGGGGCGAATTCGATATAATAAAGCGCCGCGGCGTCTTCCAGATCGGGTGGCAGTCACACAGACAATAAAGTACATTTTAAGTAAGAGGGGAAGAAGTGTGGTGATGCAAATTTAAAAAGACACCGAAAGCCTGCATTTTGGGTTTATCGGGTTAAATAGGTCCGATTGTTTGTGAAGCACTCATTGAAACCGTCTTGGAGTTTAGGATTTTGCGCAAGAGCTTAACCAAGCAAGCCATGTAAAATCAATGAGTGAACAGCGATTAAGAGTGGCTTAACTCCGGAAAACATAATTTAAATCTAAGCGTACAGTACAATACTCATACACCGTAGTTGTGATGAGAGCTGGAGAGACTTTTACAGTATTGAATTTCAATTAATAAAATACTGGAATAAAAAACATTCAGTTTGCAGTCTCAGAAGCGAATGTGCACACAAAATTAAGCTAAGAAATTGAAAACCGATAACCCATTCGGAGGATGATATGTGTAAACAGGCGTCAACGGAACGTGAGTACACCAGCAAAATACGATGACTGACAGATCTGGGGTGAGAGGTCAAAACAC